GAGAGAGAGAGAGAGAGAGAGAGAGAGAGAGAGAGAGAGAGAGAGAGAGAGAGAGAGAGAGAGAGAGAGAGAGAGAGCACCAACACAAGCCTAGCTTTGCCACTTTGCTATGTAACTACAGCTACACCCAGACCCCACCCTCCACCACCTACCTGGAAGAGATCAAACAGACGCCACACACCCTATAAGCAAGAGCACTGCAGTAGAGGACAGTTCAATTATGTAGTATTAAATGTCAGTCAATCAAAGTTCGAAAAAAAATAAAATAATAAATTGTCAATGGATTTCTTCCAACTGCCCAATTCAATTGCAATTTTATTTATGGTTCTCAACACACAAAAATCAACATTATTATTGAGTCCAAAACAATCTGCATGGCTAGAAACCACTAAAGGTAAATGTAATAGAAATCTGATAGAAATGTTATAAGGGGATCTGTTGCAAATAAACGCATAACATTTTAATGTACCAATCCAGTCGTGGCTTTTAAAGTTCACATCAACGATTGAACGAATTGCAGTGCGTGACAGAGGTTGGAGGACCACGTAAGTAACAAATTGTGTACATTTTGACACCCATCCAATGAGATCTTGCGAACAGAGAATTCTGCAAAGGAAAGCCTTAAACAAAGCATGCACGCCATGGAGCAAAGGAAACAAGACGAAGAAAGGAAGGAAGGCAGGAAGGAGAGAAAGAAAGAGGCTACATTAAATTATAGAAAGAGAGTAAAAGACAGACTAATAAATCACACTAGGAACATACCCCTCCTCCAACACCCAAACCCACCCTTTCATCATTAGAACTGTTGCTTATAAAGATAACTAAGTGCATTTGGCCATTTGGCAATGACAAAAATGTCTGCAGAGTCAGACGCCTCAGAGGCCTGTCACTCTGCACATTTATAGTCCAACTTACGTGGAGCGACTCGCTGTGTAAGGACATTAGAATCATGTGACCGAGTCCCATGCATTTAGCAAACCCAGTGTGACGATCATTACTGAAATTGATATTGAATGCTCAATCAATGCCAAGGAGGCTATTAGCTCATGCCTGGGTATAAAGGAATTGTTTAACCGTTTGATGCGTGCTGCATGCGTGTGTTGCTAAATGTATTGTGTAACTATGAAATGATGTAAGTTTAGTTTATGAAGTGACATATAAAGCAGCTTAAGGGACCAATGATGTAGTGTTGCTATACTACATCACATCACATGTCAATTCTCATTAAAAATTCACTCTATTGTCTTATCACAAGCTTCCCATTGTGTTATTTCCATCTTCTCAAGCGCCGTCTGTGTCCTCTTATTGCGACTATATAGTGTGTCTACAAGACACGTCTGCATCCTTTTGTCCGTGTGTGTGTGTGTCCTTGCATTGCAATCATTAGTGTCCTAGAAGAGGCTAACTAATAGTCATCCACCCTTACATTAGTGAAAGTATCTCTTCCGAAGAAGCCTGTCTGTTTAACATTGTGCTGTTTTCAAATCACTGGCAAAAAGAAGAAAAATAATCAATGCGAGTAAAAAATACCAATCCCATTTAGATTGATATCATTGCTGTTTGAAGACTAACTCTTAATGCAAAAGCCATTACCTGATACTAACATTAATTTTACAGTAACGTCTGTTTTCACATTGGAGTTTTATCCATCATAATGGATAAAACTCCAATTATTCGGATCCTGATGACTCCATTTTGTCTGAAAGAGTTTAAGGCTGGCCACATTCGGTAAGCATTCTTTATTATACCAGATTGAATTACTGAAAGCCAAATCGAGTTTGACTGGTGGCCTGTCGGGTGTGTTTTCCTGCTTATGTTGAACGCTGGGAGAGGCTCCAGAAGGGAGAGATGGACTATCTCCATGAAGTTATAGCCCTGTAGGGTATTCACTTTTCATCATTTTGATGCGAAGTGTGGTCATACAAATACAAATAGTGCCAGCAGTAAGGGAGGCAAGGGGAGTAGCAAAAAGAAGTAATCGGATCGGATATTAGTTTTGCAGGTTTTGTCAATCCATGTTTTTACATATTTCTCTCATTAAGTGAAGATTTTGACTTATTGGTGGCAGTAGATGAAAAGTCAGGGAATCACTAAAGCTATTATGGTTGATCCTCTGGGCACCATGAATATCTGTAGAGATTTTTATTGCAATCCTTGAGTCTGGACCAAAGCAGTAGACCGACCAACAGACCGACAATGCCATCCTTGTAGCCGCAAATATGGCTAACATTTAAAAAATGAAACTATGCACAGCACTATGTTTACAGTATATGATGAAAACAATGACCCTTTCAAGACACTATAACAAGACACTTTTGTAAGTTAAGAAAGTGAGAGAAATAGTGACAAAAAAAAAAAATGCTTCAATGCAAGTGTGTGATAAACATGCCGAAATAACTGAGATAAACTGAATGCAAGGGCAAAGCTCCCACAAAAAGACCTCTTGTTGGCCGAGGTAAAACGTTGTTATTCAACGGTCTAGGTCAGCGGGGTTAGCCGTGAACGGGAGGGAAGGGAGCAGCTGGTGACCAGGGTAAAGAGGGGGCGAGAGTGTGCTGGCCATTGGTTTGTTGGTATCTGGGCTAAATATAGACTAGAATGGCTTAGCCTTGGTGGAGAACTGTCTACACTACAGACAGCGCTGGGGGGCTGAGCTCTGCGTCATGGGAATGTACTGTAGATACTGGACATAGTGATGACAGGGATAAAGAGAGAGAGAGGTGTGAGGTGGTGGTTGCAATGTATTACCATTTTTTTAAAGGAGGATGTGTGGACAATATGAGAAATATAATGCAACTTACAGCCTTCGTATATATCCGTAGGGATGTGGACGGCGGTGGTGTTGTACGAGACAAGTCGTTTGAAGTCGGGGTCTATCTCGAAATCATCTGGAAGATATCGGTTCTTCCTTCCCTTTCCGTCGTCTGTCTGATTAAGCTGCACAAAAGAGGAAAAAACAACAGAACCTGGAGTTTCAGTACCACCCTGTAAAGGATTATATGGCTTAAGAGGGGTCTGTGTATGTGTGTGCACCCTCGGTTTGTAAACATACTGTATATGCGGTTTCTTGTTACTGTGAGTGACAAGGTGTCAATGTTAGTATTCACTGAAATGTCACTACTGACAGATAAATATTGAGAAACTGAAAAGTTTTAGGCAGTGAAACATAAACCCAGACATCCAGAGAGAAAGAGAGCGAGGGGAGAGGGGTTGTCAGTCAAATACAGAGTGACATTAGTGTGCTGCGGGTGTGTGGTTCTTTCCCACTGCGATAGTGGAGGGGGAATTAGATGCTGATCCCTGTTTATGAGAGCAGACAGATGACGTCTGAGGCCGGGGGAGGCATTCAATGTCTCACGCATACTCATGTGGTTCTGAGTGTGGGGCCCAAAACATGTACTGGTCCTTATAGATAAAAAAAAAAAAGAAAAAAAAATCGGATTAAACATGCATGCATCCATACCAGAGTTGATTATGGATGTAACATCAGTAATTCCTACATACACACATACAGTGACTTCTTTTCACAGATTCTTGCAGGCTATCAATACAATCTGCTATCAATTTTGTTGCCATGCTCTCAGGAGGGCTGGATACGGGTTGCTTGCGGTGTTTTATTTGCATCTCTAATTACACTGACAGAATTTAAAAGTAGTGGGATCAAGTTGAACTTACGTCATCTTTGGCATTGTAGTAAACGATTTTGTCAATCTGTGAAGAAATTGAAAGACAAACAAGAAAAGATTAGCAATGAATCACAATATACACTTTGATTAATGACTTAAATCCAGGCTGAAAAACAGCATTTTACTGTCCTCTCCGACAGACAGTTTGAATGTTTTACCTCTGTAAACCTCAAACAACATCGGTGACTAGTGTGGATACTGAGATAGGAAACCAATATGGAAGTGTCAAAAACTGCAGGTCCTCAAATGGCCACTTGAGGCAGGGCTTAACATACGAGTCAATCCTTGGTCTCTATATCCGATCATGATGATCGTAATTGCGTAATTGAGGGCGTAGCTGCTTTGAGTGACAGGTGGGCGCAGTCACAGGGTGCTACCTCTCGGTCCCTTCTTGGAATAGCCAGGAGGCTGTGTCATTACTGCCAAGATGGCGACAGCCGGAGTCACCCACTTTGAGCCTCACAATGGCACCCATAGGTGACGAGACTATGTCTATATTTTCTACAGTATGGTTGCACAGGTAACCACACCCAACAGTGAAGTCACAGTGTACGGAGGTGTACGCTGGCACTTCTACAGCACTGCTGCAAGGTGAGAAGCAAAAGCAAGATTTCTAGCCGCTAGTAATTTGCTCTTAAAATCGACAACTAAGTGTACAAGTCTCCAAATTAGTGCCAAAATGTGTCCTCCCTGATTGGAAGTTGTTCTGCGGCTCTTATACTTAATATCCCTTGATACTTCCTTGTTGTGAATAAAGGAGACTAAAATACCCACTCGAAGCCGCTCCAAATTTGCCCAAAAATTGAATTTGTGGGAAGGCTAGGCAAGACATTGTACTTTGTCTAGGATGAAAAAAGATAGAATGGAATGAAAGTGAAGGCCAGACTAACTGACTGTTACAGATTCTGAAGATGCGCCTTTAGAAATGTCTGTAATCTAATCTTAAAAGATGCCATGAAGTAAGTAAAGCTATCATACTTGTCTGTTTTTGTTTTAGTTACAACTGCAACTGGGGATAGAATTTAAATCCTGCTCCATTTCCTTGCAAGGCAGCCGTGTGTGTTTGACACTGAGGATCAGTGAAGTAAGTGGTGTTGTTTTTCGTGCTCACACTGCCGGGCTTCCTGTCAGTGCACAGGCTAGCAGGGCGCCAACGTGCTAACCTATAGGTCCTGCTGACATCAGAATGCCCTGGAGCCACAGAGCTGGATCAATTTCCATTTCCATTTTATTTATATAATGCCAAATCATACCAGAAGTTATCTCAAGGCACCTAGAACAGGTCTAGACAGTACTCTCTTTTACTATTGACTGAGTCCCAGCACCCGCTTACCACTTCTGGGGCTGCATCTGCTCTCTGTTTCGACCCTTAGTTAGTTATATCAGGAGTTAAACTAGCACTGATATACACATGCAAGCAACAATATACACAGTGATAAAAACAGACCGTCCCATGATGTTCTCTGTCAGCTCATGTTACTGCAGACAATGTGCACCTCAAGAGGTGACACCGACACTAAGGTCACACCAGCAACCGCACCCCTCAGGGGAGGCTACTGCGCGCAAGACCTCTTCATGTGTGAGAGATGGAGAAAAGGCGAAGATGTAAGTAGATGGTTTACGCTGTTACTTATGTGGCATGTTGTGGTGGGTGTGATGTGTACTGCCAAATTCAGAGTGTGTGTGATCTGTATTCTGTCTGAACAAGGAGACGCTTGTTAACGTATTGCGATCCAACCTCTGCCAGGTGTAACTGCAGTTCATGCCTACCATTTGTGAAAGCCTAAAGGCTCATTCAATATGTCACGCACTCACTGAAAACAGTCATGGTGCTTTTCCCTCGCATTCACAGCAGCTGCAAACAATATTGTGTCAATGAAGTCGTAAAAGACAAGTATCACATTTAATGATCTGCAATTTGTTTTCCGACATTGCCACCTCCAAACCCACTCTTACATAAAATGAGATCAAAATGCAAGAACCACAAGAACTAATATAGAGACAGAATTAAACATAATGTAATCAAATTGACCTGTTTAGAGAAGCTGGATACAGCTTGTATTTTAACGACAACTGTAAATAGGGCCAAAGTCATCACATTACTGAACAGACACACATCAGTCACAGCTTTTAAGTGTTTAACGTCAGCAGGGAGAGGTGCCCAGTAGTACTGGCCCAGTTATCAAAGGTGACAGAAAACAGACGCATGCGCATGAACACACACACATACACACACACACGGTATTTCAAACACTCCTGATTCCGTATGATACAAATCTATACATTGTGCAGGCCTACTTTGTGTATCAAACTGTGGTTGTTATATTTCAAGTAATTTATTAGCTTTATATATAGTATTCTAAGTGAAAAGGAAAATGAAATAAACGTTTCTAGCACGTATTATTGTAATTTACCTTTTCTTTCAAATATGTGTTCAAAATGAGTCAAAGCCGAGGTAGCTTCAGAATGTTCCACAATGGCGTTGTGGAAGCTCGCATTGCACACTGAATATGTGGCTTCACCTTTTAGAAGATCCCACAGAGGATGCCCACATCCCGTGTTCAAAGAATTTACTGGAATATATTGGCCAGCATAAAAATAAGGCAACCTGTGTGATTTGCAAAAAACAAACAAACAAGCACAGCGTCCAAAAGGCTGATAAATAAAGTAGAGAAAAAGACACACATGGTCTGTGTTCAATGAAGGCACACAGAGGTTCATGCGGGGCTAAGCTGAGCGGGAGAAACTATTCTGAGGCAGACACAGCACTGTGTGAAGTTATAATAAAGCTGATATAAAAACAACAATAATGGAGTTGTGCAGGGATGAGATTTCTATCCATCAACCGTAGAGGCGTCAGACATTGCAAAAGCTCTTATCGCTATCAAAATAATACAAATCTCTGCCACAAGAGGCCTCAGTTCATATTATTCAGTCACAACAGTAACAGGTTCATACAGAGGACACGTCAGTATGAATTCCCTACATTTGTGCAAATCTCTGAGCTCAACAACCTATTTTGGGAATTTCTATATCAAAACTACACAGATACCGAGATATTCAAATCGGTTGAAGTCTGGCAGAAATCCCCATACATTTGTTTTTTATTATTATTACGTTCACTAGCCAAGCATTCAGGGACAAAGGGATATCAAACTCAGTGATTGTAACATAGCAGATAAATGAATCAATTTCCTTCCTGTTTTACGCAACACAGCGTGGAAGAAGTTGAATAATGGGGAACGTTTAATGGGAAAGAATCAGTTTTTTTTTTTTTTTTTTTAGGCTAAATGGCAAAGTGGAATTTCTTTGAAGTTCTTCCGCTACAGTATTTTCACTCGATATCATTTGTCATTTGTTAAATGGCTGCCAAGAGCGTGAGGCTTTTCTCAAAGCAGGGCCAGGAAATTTGCAATTTGCATCTATTATGAAACGGCCGCAAAGCTAAAACACGGCATCCCCGCCAGTGAGTAGCTGAGAGAGCTGCACTGTAATTCCCGGCTGCCATTGTGGAACGGGGCACTGCATTCACTGGACCAGCAATTGGTCGAAGTAATTAAATGAGTAAATGAATAGTGTGTTCATATTATTTGCTGTACATTTCCTTCCATTCTTAATAGTATGATTAATGGACAATATCAGAGAGTGTGCAGCGTCCGTGTGTACGTGTGCTCATCATATGCATACCTGGTTGTTTCTGCCCATTATGTGAAATAATGAAATTCAATCTTGTATTAAGTCATAACAGCACTACTGTCATTGTAATGAGATGTGCCATCCAATTATTACAATCATATTGGTTCATGAATAACACGTCCCTCCCCCAGCTCCTCTTATGGAGTTCGAGACACCGCTTGATCTGTGTCGTAATGCAGCCAGCGTTAACGAAGTAACAGTAGATCGGGCTCCAGCCGCTCACTCACCTCACTGTCGCCCCTCCACTCGTGCTCCATTTGGAACTTTTCTGCTTCTGTTGCCAGCCTCTGAGAGAAGAGAGAGGGAGGAGGAGAGAGTAGGAGGCGAGAGAAATACAGTATGTTAGCCCATGTTAATTATTCTCGTAAAAAAAAGCGTGTTTTAAGGCAACATTACTGTCAACATCATGATACTGACTTTGGCCCCAACTTACACTTCATCCAAGGATGGACAGTGTTTGCATTAGCTGATTTAGAGATTTGAAAAGCCATGAGCCGGGCAGCTCAAAAACCATACACGGCTGAAAATATGAATAATTAAATATCAGAGCTCCATGTGAAGTCATGACATCTAACCCTCATCTAGCAGCTCAAAGAGGGTGCTGCTTCTCCTCTCTGCACCTGTAGGTATGAATTAGGACTAGCTGTGACACAGTGTTGCGCTAAAATTAGACACCCACATATTCCATCTTTTCCCAGATCTGGTCCTAATGACTGGGTTAATGGATTTATAATGGGCCCAGCTTTTAATCTGTACCTTGTCCAGAAATGCACTGTACTATTAATTTCCCCCGGGAAATATAAAATCCGGCTCTTCCTACTCGTGTAAACGGCACTGCGGGTTTCAAGTCACGCAGAAGGAACAGAGACTTGATGGGGGAAAAGCAGTAAATTAATTTGTGAAATGAGAGGAGGAGGGGGTTGAAAGAATGAATTATTTAATTAATTCTGCGGTGAAATTAAACAAGACAGTCCCAAGATTCAGAGAGGCAGAGCAAAGTCTGATTGTGAATCTCATATTGGGATATTAGTGGCAGCGTTTGGGAGCCAAGTCAGACCTTACACATGACATCAACTGTACATTTGTCTTCGTTTGCCATTTTTAAATCACTCGTCCAAAAGCAATTCAGATCTTAAACCACTTGATATCATTGTACACCTCACGCAAAGACAAAGTATACCCAAGTCAAGTGATTAACTCATCAGCAAGACAACAGCCTGATGGGTGAGAGAACAGCAAAAATAAATACCATCAATCATCTTGATTGACTTCAAACATCTTGCGTCCACAAAATACAGAAACAGACACTTCGACAGAAACGGTGCCAACATTTTTTTGCCTCTTGTTCCTGCACTGCTCCTTCTTTATTTCTCAAAGTAAGCCCCCCTTACTGAATAATCAATTGGCAAGAGGCCACATATTCATAATGAAATCTACCTCCTGCAGATCACTCGCTGTGCCTGTACGGTGGGGCCTCGCGGCTAGCAAAGGAGCAAATGTGAAATAGAGATATGTGGGCGTGTGGTTAAGGCTGGAAAGCTTCACTGCACTTTACATGCTAAACATCTCTCGGTGACTAAATGCAGTGGTCACTTAAGGGAAAAAAATAATTGTACATCTGAATTATATTTGTAGAATACATCCTGTAAGTTGGTCATCCACCCTTCTATCACTATGTTAGATTTGTATGTTTGTGGATCTCCATGCATCTACACACAAGAATTTATTCTGTAAGGATTATGGCTCTCGGCAGCCGGTTACGGTGGTCTTTATACTTCACAACACAAACACAATGTACAAACACAAGCCTTTGCAGATTTAGTTGCCAGTTACCAATGGCTCTACAGCTGCCTTGACTTAATGGGAATATACTGTCTGTTTCCAGTCAGGTCATTATTGGCTCAGAGACAGATTGGGGTGTGTGTTTAAATCTAATAAACTACTAAGCTGATGCTGCGGTCACAACTCGACCGCCGGTTGTTTTCTCTGGAATCACTCCTACTGTATTCAAGCTCAAAGCATCAGAACATATATTACATGAAATAAGAGGCCAGTAAGTTTTTATGTATTTCTAAAAACAAAAGCAATTTGCAAAGAATTGCCATCATATTCTCGCATTCCTATATATCGCTTGCAAAATGCTTCACTAAAAAAAATAGCATATAAGTAGCCGACTATGTGAAGTCTTTATCATTCCCTAAATGTAAATATATAGGTGAAGTCAAATTAGAAGTTTCAGTTTCAGAACACTGCAGAACTCATACAGACAAGTTCCTCTTCTGACTTGAAATGATGAGTGTAATGAACCTACAAGTTTCCAGAAACAGCTTTATTAGCTGTATATACCGTAGTATATTAGAGTTCCCCGCATGCATTGTTTGAGTGGTCGTTTTAATTTGCTATTTAACTTAAAGTAACTTTTTGAGTTTTGGACATCAGTGTTTCAAACTATTTCAGACTTATTTAAACACCAAATCGAGCAAAATCCTTTGAGTGCCATTTTTGACATTGCTCCAGACAGGACTTGGCAAAAGCAAAAGTGAACTTGTTGGCTGTCACTTCTTCACTGGCTATTTTACTTAAGTGGGAAGGATTCTGCAACTCCTTCCCACTCACACTGGATTAAAGACATTATGTCCTGTATGAATCTCGAGAAAATTGATTATACCGCCGAGGAAATCATTAATGAGGATCTCCACAGCAGACCAAAAGGCCATAGAGCCAAAAGTCAGCAGCTGCTGCTGTTCTTTACATTGTTTAACAGGTTTAACCCCTTTCATGAGCCTTCACATCCCCCATTCACACTGGATGATGTACGACAGCAGCTGGGCAGGTGCAAGCCCAGATAGCATCCCAGCTCGGGTGCTCAAACTCTGTGCCATGGAGCTCGCTCCCATCCACCACTTCATCTTCTGGGAATCCTACCACTACCGACGGGTCACACTCACTAGCCATGAAATGCCTGGATAAACTGATCATGACCACCATCCTGTCAGCCGTCAGACCACAGCTGGACCCCCATCAGTTTGCCTATAGGACCAAACAGAGGATGCTGTGGGATGTCTCCTCCACTCCCTCCTAAATCATAATCCAACGCCACCAGATGATCAAGAAACTTCACCATCTTAATCACCCTCCACTCCTCATCCACTGGGTTCACAATTACCTGAGCAACAGACCGCATGCTGTTAGAATAGGCACAGTAAGATCATCAACAACAGAAAAGCCCCTCTGGTTTGTGTCCTCAGTCCCTTCCTATGCACCCTCTACTACACTAATGACTGTACCAGCCCTTCATCCATCACCACATACTTCAAATACTCTGATGACACTGCCGTACTTGGACTACACAATGACAATAACTCTGTTACAGCCTATCAAAAGGCCATTTTTCACTTCACCCAAGGGTGCACTATCTGCTACCTGCAGCGAAATGTGAAGAAGACAGAGGAACTGGGTAATAGCACATCAAACACACCTCACACTGGACTGAAGCCCACTTGTTATCTGTAAACTTAGAGCACTAAGTCTGTTGGTGCTCCCCACCTCATGCTGTTGCTTTACAAAAGCATAATCCAACCCATCGTGCTGTATTGTCCCCGTTGCTTCTTCACCATACACAATCCAACAAAAACAAACTGCCTCTGCCTTCCCACACCCAGTCTATCAGATAGACCGTCAGAGCCATCACAGGCCTAGCAAATGACACAGATCACCCCTTAAACCATCACTTCACACTTGAAGGAGAGCTCACTTCAGCAGGAGCTTTATTCCTTCTGCAATAACAGCCCTGAACAATCTGTCTGGCTGACACTGTTGTAAGCTAGGATGAATGAGTGCATACATGAAGATTTTGTATACTGTTTATATACTCTGGGACGAATCAATCTTAAACCTGGAAGTGCCACGTGAACACATGTCAGATTATAAATCAGAGATACTGGGATGTAACTAAAATCCACAAAATTGTGATTTACTCCAAAGTTTGAAAAAAACAAAAACTACAGCCTATCAATGGAAAGTGCCGCAAGTAATGAGAATTAATAAGAATGACGAAATATGGACTTGCTAATGAGCTGGCGTTAATTGTATGATATCAGCGAGCTGCTATAGAAAGACTAATGAGAGCATATTGCGGAGTTACAGAACAGAATAATGACGATGATGTATGCCTGGTTCACGCTGTGTAACTCGATGCCTAAGAATAAAGAGTGCGCCTGTGGTTTTGGTTATTGTGTGGAGAACATGGATAACTGTCCTGTATTACAAACAATGAGCCAATGGGGAAAAAAAAAAAGTTCATAAAGCTGCAAGGGGCCGCTTCATAGCGTAAGCCCCATAAATCCACTGTATGCTCAGGCATAGAACAAGAGTATGCATGTGTGTGTTTGTCTTCTTTTTGGAGAAAATGAATCACGTCCACCGTAATGCCTTAAATCTCCTACATGGAGATCCAAATGGAATGATTTTTGCTTCAAAAGAATGTTTTCTGAGGAGCTTTTCATATGAAATGCGTCAGTAAAGTGAAATCAAACATGAACCACATTACTGTATCGATCAAATTGCAGATTTGTCTTATTTAGATGAGTCTTCATGTCTAAATATAGATATAGAAAGGGAGGGCGAAAAGCAATGAGACATTAGATCGACTCGCTTTCTCACACACGTGCACAATACACAAATCACCCTCAGCTGTTCAAAAGCATCCTTTATGTCTGCAATCTAAGAACGCTGGGTACAAAAACATCGGGCTCTGCAACCCTTCTAATTTTGCATCTTGTAAGCAACACACAGAGATGTACTGTGTAAACATGCGCGCTTGCTTTTCTGACACACATTCCTGGCAGTCTGATTAGAGCATCAAGTCCTGCGAGGACGGAACACGCACATATGTACAAACACACACACACACACACACACACACGGAGAGAGACAAACACACACACCTGCCATCTCACTGATGTGCAGGGAGGCACGGGAGAGCTGAGGAAACATGAGCATCTGCTGTTGTGACTGGCAGCACTTTAGTCAGATCTATCCTGCTCAGTCAGGAGGAGAGTGGTAAGAGAGAAAAGGGGAGAGAGAGATGTACATTTGCACTCACACACACACACACACACACACACACACACACACGCTCAGGCAGACTGGCACAAGAAAGAAAACAACTGCACAGTACAGTAAAGTACATGCAAGTTGACGAGTTAACCCTACTTACTATACTACAACCCTGGTCTTTTAGACAAGAAACAGTGCTCATCAACTTCGCAGGAAGTGACTTGTCAGA